CATTTGAGATGAATTGGCAGGAGTGGTAAGAGTGATCAAAGCAACTCCGATGCGACGAGAAGCGAGGGTAACAGACCTTGAGGATGCGGGAGAGCTAGAAGCCAAATGAAAAGTGGCTGAACGAACGGCGGAAAATGAAAGATGCAAGGTACCGCCGATGGGCCAGGTGGCAGGGCAACATAGATACCAAAACTAAAAACTGAGATAAGAAACCAGCAGGCAAGCCTGGCGGGGAAATGGGTGGATAGAGGTAATAGGGGCTACGGATCAGCTGGGATTGTGCGGGCATTGGAGGCGGCGGTGGGAGCGGCGCTGGTTGTGTGTGCTGGGTGGAGCGGGGCAGTCGCCCCTCGACAAGGAGAGGCGTGTCGAGCGAGGCGGGGGTAGTGTCTACGACCGTGAACAACGTCGACAGGCAGCTGACTTCTTGAAGACCTGACGGCGGCGTCGAAAGACGCGGATATTATCGCCTTGTGTGGGAGAATAGGGTACGAACCGGGGAGCCCAATCTTTGACGCCAGCCTTCCATTTATAATTCCCGGGAAACAATAGAGGACTTGCCATCTCTCAAGCTTCCACCCTCTCATTAATCAGCGATTTTAACAATCGAAACAAATGGGTATTATTCTATTATAGCCTCCCGTAATGCATGAAGCTTTCCTTCCATCCTCATTATAGAACGCCTCATTATTGAGTACAGAAAAGTCAGAACTGTGTTGCGTAATAAGAGTGGATGGAAAACTACATTTATTTTATGCCAGTACAACGGTAAATTTCTATTTTATAGTTTGTTATTTCTTTTTCAATATTAAAACGTGATTTTCCAAGGATGGCGCCAAAAATAAAGTTAATACAATGTTTTCCATTTCCATTTCGACGAATTGTGTGTAAGAAGACGTTAAAATGTTGTATAACAAATAATGATGATGTATGTAGTAATTCTGAACCTAACAAATAATGCTATCCTGTAAAGCTTGGTGCTGATGGGGTGAAAAAGATGGTTTTCAAATTGAAATATTTCTGGCGGGCTTATTAATTATTCTACAGCGCTAAGGTCGTGCAGTAGTCAGACACGTATAAATTGTACGTTTTCTCTGAGGATTATACTAGTGATAACCGTTACTCAGAAATATCACAATGAATGTCACATAGATCCTGATATAAATCAAAATACTTGGCTCTCTAGGTAGTATACACTAATATAGCGACGTAATTCTTTAAAAGTAATCGTGCTTCAAGTTTTCTGCAAGAATCAACAAAATGGAAAGCCGTCCCAGTTTCGGTAACAAGTCTAAAATCGCTTCGATCCTATTTGCTTACACTCGCTTGCGTGTGAACCCTCAAAGATAACCTCTAAGGTTGGCTTGCAAGATCGCCTGACTAAATCTCGCGACTTCAACCTACTTTCCAATTCACAGCGTCGAAGGAAATCGGATGACGTGACAATACCAAACTAGTCCATTCGTGAATTTTCATATCGCATTACACCCCTGAACAAGATTGCCTCGATGTCTCTGACTTTATAATAGAAATGCTAATGATACAAAATGCTTTTCTGGAATGGCAAATATAATTGATGAAATACAAAATCCAATACATGATTTTTCGATATTTAGGTGATTCTTAATATGACAAATAATAAGAAATACGTAATAATCATGTTTTTATTCACTGATTCTGAAAATGGAAAATGACAATACAACATTCGCGTAATTCCGGAATATAAAGTTTATGGCAGTAATTTTGGAAACACATTATAATCAAATATCAACACACTTAAATGTTTTCTTGCTTCTGCACGTAGAAGGATTTTTAGTTTTGTCATGGAATAACACTTAAGAATGCAAAATAAAAGGTATCATTGATTGTCAATTTTATTTACACATCAACGTCAATATTTGGAGACGCTAGTATGCAGCCATGTATAAAAGGGTAAGCTGTAGCTGTATTTGAATGAACTTCATAATTCCAATCTAAAATTCTATAACACTATTTAATGGATTAAGAAGCTAAATTGTAACCACATCTTTAGATTGCGAAAAAAAATAGTCGAATAATAAAAAAATGTTATCCGCGAATTTGTAAAATTTGTCAAAACTGAATTACTTAACGGTGGGAACATATTTTCATGCAATACTGATATTTATAATTACAACACACGTCGTAGAAATCACGTTCATCAAGTGTCAATATCAACAGTGCACTACCAGTAATCCACTGACAATATACAAGTATGTACTTTAATTATATATTTATGTAAAAAACACTTAAAAACTGTGGCTGACGTGCTATGGGGACCAGTCAATTTGAAGTTACATTTACATCCAGAAGCAAAACAAGGGGCCATCTCAGATTTTTCTCAAGGATCATGGAAACTGGACGAAAATCTGATCGAGATGGGAGTCATTGACCCAGAACTTTACAACGCATTGCCAGATGACATTAAACAATTGAAATCGATACACAAATTTAAGTTGCAAGTTAAATATTGTATGCTGCACAACTGGATCCATACAATTAGAGACTATCCTGATCACCCAAAAGAAAAAAAAATGTTTATTTTACCAAAACAGTGAAATATAATGAATTAGTTTACATTGTATTGTATTTAAAAAATACTTCACATGTTTGTAACAAATTATGCATTTCGGCTTCCAGGTAATTTCGGCTTCCCATATCGATCAGGTATTTGTCCAGTTTCCCTGATCTATTCAGCAATTGCTGAAATGATTGTTTTGATTCTCGGCATAAATGTACCTTCAATATACACACGTTTTGTTGAACTCTCCTCTTTCTTGTAGTTGTAGAAGTAGACATAAGTGCTAGTTAATATTTTGTTAGCACTGCAGGAAAATCAAATCTGGAGTTCACTTACCGTTGCAAATAAGTGTTCTGTAACTCGGGAACGAAAATGTGTAGTTTTTCAAATTTCTCGCGGTTTTTTAAATTTTATTATTTTTTATTTATATTATTTTCCTTTATTTATTTTTTAAACTTTTGTTCATCAATCAAATATTTTTAGTTGGATAGGAAGAGATTGTATAACTCAAGAAAACGTGCGCAGAAGACTTTCCCCCCATTTGTCGCACACATTTCTTTACTGTTTTTTTGACTAAATAAATTTAAATATAAACGCTGCACTTTCTCGCAACACATCACAGAGAATTCATTGAAAGAAGAAAAAAATCGACAGCAAGCTTATATAATCTCATCAAAATTGTGTAATAGTGGATAAAGTTGTATGGTCGCCTTGAGTGCTTCAGTGCATCAATTAATAACTAATAAATATTAAATTCAAAATAAAATGAAGTGTTTAAATAGGTACTATTTTAACACTTCTTGATGCTACTGTTAATTTAATTTTATATTTCTTTTACCATATTTTATTATCACAAATTTCCTAGACGTAGAAACTCTGAAGATAGCCGCAATGAGACCAAAAACGCTATGTACCATTTAACAATTGTAATGAGACTACACGTGTGCTTACCATTGAAGAGATTATTAGAAACCTCTCACGACTTCCTACTTTTTGAAAAACAATCGATAGAGTCCTATTTGGGAATATTTTTTTTCTGCAAACTATTACCACAATCAAGAGTGCCGACAGTGAAATAAGTCGGAAAGCAATGGAAAGGAAAGGCAGGTGCTTGCTCGTAATCAAACTTTTTCTCCGCAGGATTCGCCAGAGTAATTGCACGAGAATTTGACGAATGAAAAAATGATTTTTAAGACACGCCATTTTTAAACTATGCGTTTTCAAGCAATATTATCTACCTCGGAGGATAGTGATACTACTTCTTAAACGTATCACATTCTTCATACTTCAAAATGTTCAGAAAAATAACGAATTATAATATCGGAATTCATGTCCAAGTATCTTCCCCTAAGCAGGGCACCGCTAGTACCTAGACAAACTATAAGTTTCCAACTGGACTCCCGGCACGACACAGTAGGGTAGTTTCTGTGGCGTGTGTGTATGTGTGTGCGCGCATGTGTAAGGGAAGAGGAAAAACAGATCTCGCGCGGTCTGTGGCCTGTTCGTTAGAGAAATGCTCTAGCATTTGCATGGTGCTGATCCCAGTTATCAAAGTATACTACTGATCAGAACAGCAAGCCACTAGAATTCTCCTCCAGACAGAGTCAGTTTCTGGGTTGAGGATAATTCTAGCTTTAAACAAGCATCGAAATATATACAGTCGTAAATCCCCCATCGTCAGGACTCGAACTTTAGGACCTCCTGGTCAGAGTCACTGCAGAGAGACTCTGGCAATGCATTCCCTGAGCTACCACAGACTTTTTTGATTGCCCAACAGTAATACAACTCTTCGTTCACAGAACAAATTCGAGTTATCCTAACAAGTGAATACGAAAGATGTAAATATAAATGAATAAAATAATGACGTAATATTAATTTTATACAAAATGAATTCAGAACAAAGAGTAATAAGCTACGAAGGTATAAACTAATAAAAATAACTTGTTTCTCCGATGTGAATTGAAATAAGACCCGGGATTCATTTAACTTGGAGAAATAATGGAAACATGGGAGATAAACACACGGTGTAGAATAAAAACTAAACGTTTTATCCAGAAACATTTACTGAACAAAACATAAAACTGGAACCCTGTTGTCTGAGATTTTTACGGAACAAACTTTGTGTCAATCGCTTCATTGCTGCCTCCGTTGTGCGGATTCGACTGAAGATCGCGGATCATCACTTCCTCACACCGACACTTTTGTGGCCGGTGGCATTTTTTGGCCGGTATAGTGCCCAACATATTCCTCCGTGATAATACGTTTTCGTAGGCTCACAGACAACACACCTCAAAGCCGCGTTCGTGTTTTAAGAATCGAGGTCTCAATGCCCAAGTGAATATCAGAGCCCGCGGTCCGCACTCACTCGCCGAGCTGCGGGGTCCCGGTAAACAGCAGCCGCATTTGGCGCCTTCTGCCCACTCCGTACGGCGCGCGCACCGTCTCTCCTCTCGGGACCGTCTCACCACGTCCCAGCTCCGCGTCGCGCTACGCCACGCCACGCAGTCACCAAGCCGCCCGGCCCGACTCGGCTCAACCCTGCCCGGCCCAGTCCGTGGAAAGGCAGCGCGGCCCCGCCCGGCCCGGCCAAGCCCAGCCAGCTCTCTCGCGAGACCTGGAAGCCATTGCTCCGCGGTAGCGGCAAACTTGCGTCCGTCGAAGCGTGTCGCCTCGCCTCATTTGCAGCACAGCCGCCCCCGTCACCGTCCCCAGCCCCGGCCTCACCCCGGCGGGCGGTGCGGAGAGGAGCGAATAGCGCCAACTCCCCGCGGCGGCCCATGATGCCCTGCTCCCGACTCCGAGCCGAACAACGATGGCCGCCTTCATCTCCATGAGAATTTCCCATAACGCTTCGGATAGAAGGATTATTACTAGGATAAAAATCACAGAAAACAAAGAGTAATGTAAAGCACATAGCATTTAGATAAATGTTGTATTAAGACATTCTGTTAGTCGCAACGTGTTCATTTCAGTGTCCCCCCTTGCCTGCGCGATGAAAAACGAGACCAAGTAATTATGCAATTATTTTTACAAAACTTAAGTGCTTATAATTTTACCAGTAATAAGAAATGTGATTTCCACACACGCTGAAAAGAAGGTAATTATATTTTGTCAAAATAGTCTATCATAGCCTGTCATTAATTTAACACATTCGTCAGTAAGGTTTCCATTTTAAACTTAATTTTTCTATTCAAATTCATCAAAAATTCTTTCCAAATTTCGATGGGCCTCTCCATCCACTTCAGTTTCCAGACCTAGTATACTAATTTGCCAACTGCACCCATCTTCGATACGTGAGTGATGAAGCCAGCAATGAAACTTACAAAAAAATCTGAAATGTTAAGACTTCTACATACTAAATTGCGATATAAATATACGGCAAAGAATCGTGTTGAATTGCAACGAGAAATTTAAAAGAAAATTAATTTGAGTTTTATCAAATACCTCATATCTGATATAGCAGAATAAATGAAATATCAAATGTTTCATTTGATACTTTGTGACATCCGAATTAAAGCATAATCACATAATTTAATATAAAATACTGTTGAACTTGTAATCCATTTTATAAGAGTGTGTACTTAAATGAACACTTGAAGACAAAACTTGGTGATCTTTCAATGACGACTGACCTTCATTCATGACGTGTGCCCATTATATTCGCCCGTGATATTCCAGGGCCTAAGAAGAAAAAACATATTAAAATATACGGAGAAGAAAAGATAACCCATGAAAACAGTGTACGGACCATTGAGATATGTTGCAGATTCTGTCGCAACAACTAGAGCAGAATTACAGGTTGTCGAAAACTAGCGTTGAAAAATTTCGCACCATCAGAATCCCCACAGAACACTTTTGCGGCACGGTCAAGGAATCACACACTGACAATTCTTGAAACGTGACAAGAAACGTATATACTAAAAACATAGTAGAACTGTCGTGATGTAAGGAACGTTGCAAGCTTATATATCTGAACAACATATTTGCTTTGTTTCTTGTTGTTTCTTAAAAATTTTTCATACAGGAATGTAGAAGAGGCACCCGAAAGTATTTGCATTATTAAAGCCACATCCTTAGTAGAGATAAAATAAGTCAAAACATAATTTTACTTTTCGCTTGAACAAAGTAAATGTGTGGAAATATAATTAGGACCTAGATTCATCCGACTCAAAAGAAGAAAATGCTACCTCACAATGAATGGGTTTAACGTTTTTATTTGAAGTAGTTTTGCATACACCAAATAAAAGAGACTAAAGAATTGTAGATCATATTTAAAACGTATTTACTTCCTTACTTTAAAACCGCCATTGCCACGGTTTTTTCCAGTTTTTCATAAGACATGAAACTGAACACGCAGTGTGTGTAAAAAAGTTTAAGCATGATTTTTTTAAAAAAAATTTCATTCTGCAAGAAACGTGTTACGTTTCATCTACCCATTCTTATAGATAATGGTTATGGAAATTCAAAACAAGTAAAAAGTGGGAGCAGTGTTAAAAATGTAAAAAAATAACATTTCTATCCTAGGTGTCTCTACAATCAATGGTAATGAAAAATATTAATCGATGCCAAAACAGGGCACGCTCCATAAATAATTTTCTCCGGTATTTCTCCGCACAAGTAATGTATATTAGAAATAGAAATTGTGTCAACATTACCGCTCAAAACGCAAAATTTTATGACTGATTTTGAAAATAAATTGTACTCAAAGGTCTATAATAATGCCGTTCAAAGTAAATGTAATAATACCCTAGCTATTTATGAAAAAGAATCATCAAAAAGACAGTAATACTTCCGAATTTCGCTAATAAATAAATGAATACTACTGTGATGGTGTTTTGAATGTACGTTTCTTCGGAAAGAGACAATTTCTTCGTTCAGTGAAGTGACAGCCGCCTTCGTTCTGTGAAGTGAAGTGAGCGCCGAGAACACTTGAAACAGACAACGCGTTTGAGACAAATAGTCGCAATCAATTAGACCAGTAATTCGTCGACAAGTATCAGACGGTTCAAGGAGGCGCCCAGAATGCTGTGACGCAAGGCTCACAAATCGATAGCCGCGCTCACCCAGAACCAACGTGCTGAACAAACATTCACTCAACGGAAAGGTCCCGGCCCGATCAGAAGGTATCTCTACGAAATATCGATGAGCTACTTTCTTCCTGCGAAAAAGAACAACGCTTTCGCGCTTTAAAGAACTCGTTTTGATAAACACATTTTCAAACGAAATAATATAGGCAACCTGACAGAAAGGTGTGTTCACATAATTTTCCGATACAAAAAATAAAGTGAATTAAGAAAGCAGGATGCTGGTAAATACGCTACGGCAGGAAAGAAATTGCCATGCGAAATTACTGCCGTCAAATACAATATTTTATATTTCAGCGACTGAAGTTTCACAAGCAATTTCGAAACTAATTTTCATATTAAACTAGCATCGCCCTTAACGGTACAGGTCAGCGAACTACTACAACAATAAAAACTGTCCATTCTTGTATACTCGCCTCCCTCCATCTCTAAACAGAAATTAATAAAATGTGCCAGTATACTAGAATGACATATCAGAAAATGAAATCATCTTTCCCTCCGACAATGATTATATGGAATTATTTGTAAAATGACAAAAAAGAAATAACTATTCAATCTTATAGAAACCAAGGGTTCAAAAAATGTTTTTTATAAACACACTTTCTTTCTAATATAAAATATCAATCATCAAGAAGAACCATAGATATGTTCACCCCAAACCAACAATGAATTTAATATTAGGATCTATTATGAAAGTCATTCAGGCACAACTAATAAAAAAGTAGTATCTGGACGAGAAAAAAACTAACTTATGATTTGCAAAATTATTAATAATTTAATGTAAGATCCCGACTATGATGTCCACGTCAAGAATATTAAAATAAGCTACACTTATTAAAACAAAATTATGAATAAAATATAGATATTATCTAATCTCTCCGGTTCAAATCAACATGTGTTATATCAGTATTCTCTAAACTATATATCAAATTAATGAAGCCGCACTTTCAAAAACAATTATATAGTATCACTGAACATAATTCGCCGCAAATTATGAGCACTATCAGCCATAACAACGAAATGAAATAATAAACTTCCGGTGTGAAGCAAAATATACAACTAAAATTCCAATAAATAAAATGCGTATGATATAAAATAAATGAACAAGTCATTTCAGCCATGGCTCAGACTGTCAGGTCATCAGGCTGAGATGAACGTTGTACACTTCATTATATTAGTTAATTCATTTGGTTAAAAAAAACGATAAAATCAAAGGTAGAAAGCAATACAAATTTGTCATACAAATAAACCTCATTGACCACTAGATAGAGCATTTCCCTTTTCATTTGTGTTCTATATTTAAAACCTTGATGCTTGTGTAAACCTGCGTCAAATCATTGATAGAGATAGAAATGTAGAAAATGAAATAAATAATTTTGTACACTTAAAGAGAGATATACAAACATAATACGCACATGCCTAAATTTTATATTATGCAAATATAATTTTCAAAAATCAAGACACAGGCGATACATAAGAATCATTGTTCAAACTACTACCAACATGCAGCATCACCACTATGTGGCGACCCATCAAGGTCAGCAAACAAGCAAAGCCATAATCCATTCAGTCCATGGGTACCCCGCGTGGCGGTCAGAGAAGTCCCAAAGGGGCAGGGCGGCAATGAGAGTATTGAACCCGGAACCGCAAAATTAATCACAACCAGATATTTTGGAGGGAATGAAATAGTAACCGAAAACTTTATTGGTCGAAAAAAAATGTAAACAATGATTCCACATTCATTTAAAATCTGATATTGTTCAATCCCCTGATGTCAAAATTGCTCCCAAATGCAAAGGATGCATTTTTTTCCATTTAATAATAAAAATTAAGGAGCCCAATGTAATCATAATAACACTTGTTTCAATTGCCCAAAAATAACTTTAAAAATCCTCAATCTATATATTTTATGCAACGGTATCTACAAGTGCACATATGTATAAAATATAGTCCGTCACCCCATTCACATCTACAATTAGGCGAGGAGATTTTTTGTTATCTGGCGTAATTAGTGATTCTGGGTTGCGCTTATAGTGTACACAAACATTTATTTCCGAACGAATGAGAAAAATGCTGAACCCGAAAGAAAACTATTTTGAAAACTAAAACGGTTCCCATGAAAATTTGGAAACGCAAAGGGGCGAGAAACGACGCGGAGGGTGCCTTTCTTATCGCGGCGACAGTGCTGCCCAACGCCTAGGGCCGTCGGGCGGGTTGCACCCGGGCGGGCGCCGCCGCCTCCGCCGCAGCACGCGGGCCGCGACGCGGCGCGGCGCGCTCAAGTGCAAAAGCGCATCGAGCCGCGGGGGCGACGCCAACGTGGACGGCGGCGGGGCGATGGCGGCGGGGCGGCGGGTGGCGGGCCGTGCACGTCCACAGCGCTACGCCACGCCACACCGGCACCCGAGTCGCGCCTCGCCTCGCCTCGCCTCGCCTCGCCTCGCCTCGCCTCGCGGCGCCGCGCCGCGTCGCCCGGCCCTGCGTCATGCCCGTCGCCGTCCCGTCGCGCCCACGTGCTCCATTAGCTTTTTGCGCCAAATGAAAATTCTGACATCATCTCCTACCGCCCAGCCCTTTGTGTTTCGACCGGTTTTTCCCCTCTTCCGTTTTTTTAATTTTATTTTTTGAAGGGTACCTTACGTCAGACACGCCACGCGGACATCCATCATGCAACGTGCAGCGCGCGCGAGGTGCTCCACTTTTTTATCAAATTAGCAAAGGGTCAACTTACCATCTGCCGTTGCTCGATTTATAATCAAACTCAGAAGTGCAGCGGTGAATAACAACTGGCAACGCTGCATTATGCTGCAGGAGCCTTGGCAACTCTGCGCCACCTAAGTAAAGACCAAAAAATTATCTAATGGAAAACCATTTTGAAAACAAAACCCGCCGCCGGTTCCTCTTCTGGCGTGGCCGCCTCGTGCTTGTTGACGTCGCTGCCACCGCCGCCGTCACTGCGCTGCCCCCTGCGATGCGCGCTGCTGATGAAACAAAGCGGGAAAATGAGTGTTCCTTGTCGACTGTACGCCCGCTGTGTGATCACCGGTGCACTGTCGGCTTCCGCACAGCTTCCACAGGAGTCTCTTTCTTCCAATGTAAGTTCGTTAGTACGGATTCCTTCTGTACGCAGATCGATGCTTTGATATGCAGAAATTCGTCGTCGATCTACAAGGAATGCTATATGCGCCCTGTGTGTGCTTTCCACACTTCACGTACAATTAGAATAATGTATTTCAGTAGGTTAGGAAAGTCGTCAATAACAAAAAAGATCTTTATTTTGAACAGAAACACATTTCACACGATGCTTTGACATGCGAAAGGAACCGTTCAAAGCTTTGTAGGCTATGCAGTACGAGTCGAAAGAACTTCGGCTATAGAAATTAAAAATATGGGGTACAAACTTCCACACATTCACGATAAGAGTTCCACACGGATCAGTTCTAATTCGTACAAGTCCCTTAGTTCAACAACAAGTTTTTTCACTGACAACAATAATATAAATTCTATTACTTTCTTCCTATGATTCCAACTGTAGTTGCTACGGCTCTGGTGCACCCACGGAATCATTCCCAAAGTTTTAGTCAACAAAAATATTTAATGCAAGGTCAAGTCACGTGACACCCTATGGGTTGAGGAAGGTAGGTTTACCTGGACTTTGACGTTACGTACATACTTTTGTCATTTTAAAAGATGGTGAACTAACCCGCTAATAAGGGAAGGGATTTCACGTAAAGACAGCAGGGACGCCTTGACACCAGTGAACGCCCCCAACACATTCTGCCACTCTAACGCAGCGATCGACATGGTTAGAGCAACGCACGGAGGACACGTGGGTTGCACAGAAATCTATATCCAATGCAGGCTATATTCTCAGCTATCGAGACGGTCATTGTCTTGGCACAGCAAACAACGCCTTGGGAGTTTTGAGCACACGGCAACGCTATCCGAAACTCATGGACAATTTATACAAAAGTAAGAAACCTATTGCAGTAAATTTCTGATGCAATAACAAACGCAGAATGTATGTATGTAACAAGTAAGATGACCAGCAGAAAAGGTGAACCAGATTTTTTTTCTAAACAACAGCGATGACAACTCCTCGACTCGTCATGTCGTGTAAATTTCTCCTCTTAAACACAAGAGCAAGTTGTCACCGTCTACATACAAAAGCTAAACTAGCGCTCTTCGACACGGTGAGAACGCAACAATCCATGGGTCCCGCACTCGCGCCGCGCCCGGAGTCGCCACACAAGCGAACACCTCCTCCGCGCACTTCATTCCATGTCGCACACCGCCGCTCCGGGAGCCGGCTAACACCGTCTGGGTGGGCAGGGACGGCGACGAAGCCGCTCGGAGCTAGGGCACATCTCTCGCCGATTCCGAAGCGCGCACTGACAGACAGGAGGGGGCGCTTCGGCCGTCGCGGCGCCCGCCACCGCC